GGATGCTAGAGCACCCTTCATGAGACGAGGACCCCCTTTTCCTCCCCCTCCTCCCACTGGCATGTATGGACCACGTGAATGTTTTCCAGTACGAGACTTTGGGCTTCCGCGCCCTCCACTGCCAAGTACGTTGCCAGCATTTACTTCAGGTTGATGAACATGAGTGCTTTGTGCAAGTAGTGAGTTACCACGCTGGGTGGACACTTAAGTCTTTATTTGCACATACTACTTCTCAATTCAGCTAACAAGGAGAATCTTTTCTGATGAAGGTTAATTGCATTGTATGCCACCTTCAGTTGCTCATAGTGATAATGTTTTTTACAAATACAAGCTTTGGCTGGAAAATATGCATACACACACTGTGCAGCATTTAGAGGGTTCTTTTTGGGGGTAGGAAAGCAAGTAACCTATGAGGTTATATCATATATAAATCTTAAAGTTTCATCCTTTAGCTTTGAGGTATGCTCGTGTCCACACAAAAGTGTTTGTTTAGGACATACCTGTTAATTGTTTTTCCTTGGAGTTTGCGTTAGTGGAGCAAGTTATCGGATTGAAGGGCTTCTTTCTGCTTCCTGCTCTTCTCTGATTAACCTGTGAAGAACTAAGCCGTTGATCTTCCAAAGTATCTGTAAGGCATGAGAGCCAAGGGCTGCCCCAGTGGGCTGAAGGTGATGGTGGTGGCAGCAGCCCATTAGCAGACACTGATGGGCTGCTGCTGCGAGCCTGTCATGGGTAACTGCTGAGAAAAGCGCTCATTTTGTCCTCCCCTTCCTAGCATCTTGTCTCTTTGGAGCATAACACCTAGCCTAGGTCTGCTTTGTGACTCCTGTTTAGGCAGGCTGTTGCTGAGCAATAGAATATTGGGGTAGGAGGAGCAGGTATGTGTTTACTGTTGTGATTGATAGTAACTGGACTACCCCCATTCTCTCACAGTAAGAACTCCATTTCCAATGAGGTCTTATCCTCACTATCCACCTCAGCGACCTGGATTTTTGCCTCCACCACCTCCTCCTGAAAATAGAGTTGAACCACCTCAGTCAAACCCATCAGCTGTAGAACAACCAGAACCACAGCAAGAGACTTGACAGCAACATGTGGAACCGTTTCTGTACTCTCCAATGGCATTTTTTCTTCTGTTAAGTAACCATTGTTACTTAGGTATACATAAACTACTTTGCTCAAATTGAAGCTTAATAGAAAATTCTCAGGATAGTAGTTTGTAAATAAAGAATGAGATAACTATGAATATTGTGAATAAGTGATTTCCATTGTACAATAGTCATTTTAAATTAAGTATTTCTAACTTGAGTAATCCCTTCAGAGGTGTATAAAATGAAATCATGTGAACCATATTTTAAAAGTCCAGCTGCTTTGTCCTTGTTTAGCTATACAGGGACTCTCTCTGCATGCCAAAAGTGATGCTTGCTGCTTTATGAATAGAATGTGAAAACATACTGAAACAGTTAATAAAAGTCTACTGAAAACAAAGGCAGTGTCACTGTTAACATAGTACTGTAGAAGCAGGTGAGGAGCAATTTAATACATTAATATCTATATATACATTCTGCTAATGATCTCATAGGTAACCTTTTAGCTGTCCAAAGTGGCAGTTGTCCTACCACTATGCGAGGAGGGAAGGGGAAGAGGAAATGCAGAGCACTTCTCCCATCATTCTTCAAAAGGGCTAGTGTGGGGTAGTGTTTTCCTGAAAATGTATACAGGGGGGGATTTATGACATGGGATGAAGGAGCCCTAGTGATGCAATGATTAGCACCACCTGCCCCTTGCCTTTGAAGAAGCATGGCTGCAGCCAAATAATATTAGGGATTTTTTGCTGTCTCAATATGAATTCAGTTTTTGGATTAACACTGGCATTTAGGAAGCTGGGTAGGACAAAAAACCCAAACATTTCCTCATTCCTATTTCCTTGTTCCTTCAACTCTTACTTCAAGGGAGCACTTGGGCTTTATCAACAAAATGGTCAGAGGATGGAACAGATTTCTGTAAGCATGCTTATCCTCACACAAACTATAGATAATGGAAACTACAAGGCAAGGTAGAATTTTTTTCTTGTCTAGAACAAGCACAGAAGCAAGTATACCCAATACACCTAGCAAAAAAAAGCAACAAAAGTGGTCATGAACATGCTGCTGTGGCAAGCATTTAAAAAAACACAAACATGTAATTTTAGATGTTAATTGTGCCTGTGTGCATTTTGTAGTGACTGGTAGGCTTCAAACAAAAAAAGGAGAATTAAAAAATACAAGAAAGAAGTGGCAAACTGCAGCATTAGTGATTTTGTGCCTGTGAGAGCATTTAGAGCATCATCTTGCTCACCTCTCTGTGGGAGGTTGCTATTTTGCTTCTTTCCTTGTACTGGCCACTGCAACAGGTGCCTGCAGCAGCCAGGCTGCAGGCGTTTCCGTGCCTTATCTGGACAGAGCCCAGCTCCCTTTTCACTGACTGTGGCACAACCTGAAGACATCTGCAGATTTTCCTCTGTCAGTTTAGCTTCAACTTGAAAACCATGTAATGACAGTGCCAGCAAGGGACCCTTCAAGATAGAGGAGGAAACTGTTTTTAGACAAGCCCCCGCTTGCAGTAGCAGCAGTGGGTAGTTCAACTGCCATCCCCCCATTCTCTGCACACACACACAAAACACAGTTTCAACCTTTAATATAAAGGCAGCCACCACACCCCATAATTACAAGTTACCAAAAAAATCTCCAGCCCACTTTTTCGGTAATTGCTTAGGTCAAGTCTGCCAAGGGAACTTTTTCTTTCTGCTGCTCACCACTCCTACTGTTATTTCTACATCGGCTTATTTCAGCTACAGAACTCTTCCATGGCTCATGCCTCCAATTTCTTTATTCTCTTTTCTACTTCCAGTTTAGTCCCCAAAGGCATTTAGGTAAGCCTCTGTACTTAAGCCATTCAATGACAAATCCCAACAACAGACATTTTAAAGCATCATTCTTATTAAGCTGAACAGCAGTTAAAACAATTTAATTCATCTGTTCCATCATTTTTAGCCAATTAGTTATTTTCTCAAGGCTCTAAATTTGCCTGACACTTCACCAGGATTCTAAAAGGAACTAGTTGGTTTTACCCTTGCCTACCAGTCCTAGGACAACCGTAACTGCCACCTTCCCCCCCATACTTAGAACCAGTGGCTAGCACAGAGGCCTTAGTTTGATAATACTGCCACCATAAGAACCCGCTCCTTTTTTTCCAACTCACTTCAAGGGTTGCAAACTATTTATGAATGTAGCTATATTTTCTGAACAAATACAGTATTTTCTATGTGTGGGTTAAGTATTTGTTCTAGCTTGTAACTGCAATAAACAATTATTCTTCCACCAAAACAATCTACTCTGTGCCCACAATGATAGTGGAAGCTGCAGGCAAAACAACAGTTAGCTGGACTAAGATAATGCAGGACAAGCCTGGATTAGATCATCCCGCAGAGAGAATGGCGTAATTTCAGACTTTTTTTTTTCCCCAGTAATAGCCCAAAATTTTATTTGCAGACAAGCAGTTAAAAACAAGCGCAGATTTATGCAGTGGGAAGCAGGGTGTAGTAACTCATGAGATGTATTTGGGTATGTTTAACTGAGAAGGGTGACACAAGCATGTATGCGGGGAAGCCCCTGTACCCCCCAAAAAAAGAAAAAGCAATCCAGTTTTAACAGTTCAAGGCTTGTGTCCCAAGTTCCTGCTGCTAAATCTAGAATGCAGCAACACTAACTTGGCATCCCTGTCTCTTAAGGAAAAACAAACAAAATTAAAATCCCATTTGGGATCATGCAAGCTCAAAGCAATTTCACACAGTTTGTAAGGCCCCACTCCAAGTACAAGTGGACTTTCCACATTGGGACCATCTTAGTTTCCTGACACTTGACTTCCAATTGCTTCAGCTTGAGTCCCTTCATCCTGGTATCACTAATTCAGATTATTGCTAAAAATACAAACAAACAACAAAACCAACACTTACTTATTTCTAAGACAACAGAAGACTCAGAGGTGTATTTCTCCAATACTGCTCAATTTCACCACACACTCATGCCTATACTTGTAAAATAAAGATCATAGTAGTCTGTGTAGATTATCAAGTACCTGGAACACAAGCCATAGCAGTGATTAGGCTTCAGACTCTATGCAAAACCAGACCTAGAGTACTAACAGGAGCCAGCCAGTCAGCCAATTTCAAACACCGTGGCTGTAACTGCAGTCAGTGAAGGGCTGCACATTTCTCTACCACAGCCAAGCAGCCTGTTTCTCCTGCTCCTTTTCCCTTTCAAGATTTAAGCTAATTAAAAACAAAGCAGAAAATAGGTTAAACTAAAAGGAGAAACTTGTTTATATAACAGAAAGGTAAACAAGTTACTTCCCAGCAGCATTAAGTGAAGCAGTTATCCACAGAAACACAGTGGTCTGCAGAGATAAAATTGACAACCTGCAACTCTGCTGAAGCCAGGGGACACTGCATTTGCTTCAGGAAATGCCACAAAAACAGCCAGAAATCTTGATCGCTTTAAGACCAAATTTAAGGTCCAGATAATGCTGAACAGTCCCTCTTGGATTTAACCCCTACATAAACCTCGCTCCTGAGGCCGAGCCCTGAAAGGAATACAAAAAGCTGGAACTGCGTTTACCTTATCCTTACTACCCACAGCATCCCTTCAGTAAGTTGGTAAATGCTCTTGCTTACCAAACCTAGATGATCTAGGAGACTGCTTAAACAACAAGTAGTGCAAGTCTCATGCTTGGTAGCCGTTTGGACCATCATAAAACAAAGTTCAGAAGCTCAAATTAAATCCGTGCTTGGCACGCACACACGGAACAGCCACTCCGACAATTCTCACAGCACAATCAGCCATCGCAGGGCACAGCAGCTCTTCGACAGCTTACCAGGCATTTGCAGTTGTCATTCAGAATGCACAGCTACGTACTCTGAGTACGGATAAAACGTCAAACTGAAGCATTGCAGGTATTCATAATCTATTTAATAGTGGGACACCAAAGGAATACTACACATTTTTCTTGAGCACATCAGATTTTGATTTAAGCAATTGCAATGGATGCAGGAATTTCTCAAAAATAAGTCTTCTATAGTCTACAATCCAGAGTTTACTGTATCAGTCTAATAAGTCACATCATGATATACTGTTTGTGCTAACTGGTCTGATAGTCTGATCTTTAGGCAAAGCACCCTTCCCCTTCGCCCACCCCAAAAAAGTGTTGACAAAATTCAGCCAAATTAAAAAAATAAAGATTACTGTACGACTTCTTTTAGACTCTTTTGTTGACCTAAACACAATGGGAGCTATCAGTTACACACAGCTTATGAATGATTTGCGTTTTAATTCTAAAAATCTTCATGCTGATACAATAAAATATTTTATACAGCAATCAATTTTTAATGCTTTATTCATTGATTAAAAGAATATACATTTAACATAAACCATACAACATCAGTCATCAATTCAAACATTCAGCTGGTTTCCTTACATTTTCTGTCAGGAGTTTTTTTTTTATCTGATCACATTTATAAGATAAAATCTCACCACATCTGGCATATACACACACTGTGCCAGTGGATTCACTCTACTGATGTACATATAAAATCCGCATGGTATGTGCTCACTGGAGACAAAACAGCGCACACCTGTCAAAAGGTCATTTTAATATAAGATGGTAAAACCATTTGTAAAACACATATAAACTTTTTCCATAAATAGAATCATATCTGGACATCTGTTGCATAAATTGTGTTTTCCAAAGCTTACAATATAGCAGCCAGGTCTCAGCACTGCTGGGCACCCACGTTGGCCACTTACTTTATTATTGCAGACTGTCCTTTAAACATTAAATGCACAACATTCGTACCACTTAAAACTGGGGTCAGGTGGAAGTCTCACAGAGACCACGTCTGTACCGCGGTTGCCCTGAAACAGTTAAATCGGCTTTTAAAGCCTCTCAGATATAACAAGATTTTAAAACATACTTCATGGAATGTTCTTCATGCATCATAGCAGCTCATACCTGTGATAGAACAAGCTTTGTATTTGTTTCCTTTCCTTCCTTTACATTCACTATTCACAGTGAAACAGGTGCATGTTTGTTAAGAGTTCTGAGGTTGCTGACTGAGCCACAGCACAGCTGTGTACCACAGGTCGAAATTCGACCTTATATATTACAATCTAGCAGTATCTGGCTGGCCAAAAGTTGGCCTGCCCCTGCCAGCATGTGGGCACTTCTTCGTTTTTAATCTATTCTTTGGCAGCTGACACAGGCGCTGACAGAGAAAATCCAGTGACTCGGTTGCTAGGGATTTCACGACTAATGTTTGTTTGCAGGTGTATACCTTTGTATTGAAGTCTTCACTGTTATGTTTTTACCTCATCGGAGTGCACATTCTTGCTTTTTTCTTTTAAACTTTGGCCCAAAGCTAACTTTTAAGGAAGATGACAGAACATGAGAATAAACAAGGAGGAGTTTGCAAAGAATCCAAAAGACTACGGCTTATGGAGTGAATCGGTAACTGCAGGTCCCTGGAAAGCTAGTGCTTCACACCGCTGCTTAACAGCAAAGAAAAGCTGAGAATGGTAGTTAAGTCATGCTTCAGAATCTGCACATGAAAAAGCAAGGTGAGAGTCTTACCATGAACAGCCCTGGATAAACTTCTCTTCCTTTAAGCCTAAGTAGCATGCTACCAGATTAAGCAAACAATGACAGCACAGAAATCCACTGGGCTATGGATATGGGTATTAAAGAGTTGGCTCCTGAACACAGAACTCCGATATAATAGTAAAATCATTCAAAATGAAGTTACTCAACAGAAGTAAAGTTAGCCAGCAACCTCAGACAGCCTTTGGCTGTATCTCTGTAAGGTTTGGTAGACAAGTCCATTAACCGTGAAAGCCCTAAACACTGCCACTTTCAGCTTCTAAACCAATACCCGACTACGTTCTTTGATCAAGAAGTAGAATACACATATATAATTCTATATAGCTAATACTGATTAAACACAGCACAAAAGGGGTTAATTCACGCTACTGAAAAAACATAATAGGACCCTACTTGCATATGTAACCACAGGAATTGTAAATAAGGAGCTAAATGCCTTCACTGAAGCTTTGCATCTCTCTGTAAAAGTGACGGGTTGGCTCAGTGAAGACACTGAGCAGCTCTATGTCCATGACTGCGTGCCAAGGTCGACCCAATCCGAGAGAGACTTGCTCAATGAGATTGTGTACTGGATCCACATCCTGATCAGCCAGTTCTCCTTGGTCGAAATCAATGCTTTCTTCTGTGACTTCCAGAACTTTCAGGTCAGAGCCACGAAGACGAGCAATTGCAATAAGATTATGAGCCCAAACTGTGTAACCTGAGGGGCAGGGGGGAGGAGAAAAAAAAAAGAAAGAGAAAGTTACTCTGTCATTTTGTGACAAGGCATTTTTTTACTGAAGTACTTAATATCAAAGCATTTCAACATCCTTCCCAACCCATTTTGTCATATTCTATCTGGCAGAATCGTTGTACAGCATATTTTTTATTGTTGTTGCAAGTGGTAAAGCCCTGTTTCATATTCTGAATAAGGAAGTGTTAAAAATGTTTCAGGTAGTTTGACCAAGCTTTTCTAGATCTAATTTTTTCCACCATTTGTAGAAAAGTGGACTTCTTTACTCCGAGTTATACCTACAATTTCAAACCTCCTGTGATCTACTTCATAGTATAAATAGAATGAAAAAAGTGAGTAATCAATTATTTTAAGTGAATGTATAAAAAGACTGTTTTAAAACTGTACTTGTGCTAGAAAAAATGTGGTTTGTTTTTGTTGCATTAGAGGTAGACTTAAACAAAAAAACCCCAAACAAACCAACCAACCAAACCAACTCAACACACACAAACCAGAAGTCTCTCCAGGAAGTAGGTCACACTGGTATTAAAAAAAAAAAAAAAAATCTACAAATATCTTGTTATTCTATCTGAGATTAAAGATAATTACAAAGCTTCCCTCTCTTCCCATTAGCATATATTGGCATCCCTCTTTAAAAGCACCTACTGCCCACTTACCTGCTAGCTTTCTGTACCCTTGCTAAGGCAAATGCCAAGCTCCTCCTTACTGAGATGCAAACCACAGACAATCTGGGAACTTTCCCTTTTGGGAGCTCCGCCAAGTCAGCCCTTCCATGGCAAAAGGAAAGGCTCATTTCTGCCTTCATCATCATTCTCACAGGTGCTATGCCTCTTGGTGAGATGCCCACTTAGATTCCAAGTAAAGCTGCAGTCTGCACAGTATTTGAACTGGGAAAGTTAAACTGCTGAGAAATAAAAACGAACTGTGGTTTGGTCTCCAACAATGCAGTTAATGCACTCTACCTCATAATGTATCAAAAGACGACAGTTAAAGAATGAAGAAAACTGATGTCAAAGTAATAAAGAACGGAAAATTTTTCATTCTGTTTTCTTTTACTTTTTCCTACTGTTTGTCTCTAAGATTTCCTGTAAATATGTTGCTCCAAGTAGGTTTTCAACAAAGAAGCCTGCACAGATTTGCATGGCTCAGTTCTGGTACATTAACCATTAGGAATGCACAAATTCCCACAATCTCCATCTGCTGATACTTCACCTCCAGCACAACTGTCCACAGAAGACAAAGGCTTCAATAAGGCTGTAGGACATGAAACCCAATGGCAAGTTCCAGCTGTACGATGACACTCCTCTATCAGGATCTGAAGGAGCTCACACAACCTTCCAGTTATCTTGATCATACAGGAACTTTACTAAAGAAAATCTTGACAGAAAGTGCAAGAATAAAGGGAATAACAACTGTGGTTATGTCCCCTGTACCACCCTTGTGGTTCAGGTATACAGTTTTTGCTATAACTTTTCACAGTCAGATCCTCTGCTCTGGAACAACCATCTCACTCTCAACTTCATCTCATTTTAAATTAACTCTCCTTTCAAAAGTTTTGCCTGAAGTTTCTCAGTAACCTTCCATCAGCCAAAAAGCCTCTGCCCAGCGATCACTTCACCACAAGTATCACTGACCAACAAATTCACCATAGGCAGCACCATAATTTGTTTCTCCTTGCTGGTAGAAATTTCAACTTTGGTTTTGCTCATGGACAGAATAAAACTGAGAATCTCATAGGTAACAGAGTATGTTTACAACACAGTCTTGAAAATCCACATAAAGTGTCCTTCTCTTAAGAAGGCGTTAAAAAAAAAAAGCTTCAGCTCCCATAGATGGGCTGTGCTTTTTATTCACAGCATCAGATCATATCACTCTGACTATCCTACTGTCCCCATCCCAAACAACCACACATTCTTCACAGCCTTCCTTCATTCTGCAAGAATGTATTTAATAACCTTCAATCAGTCTTCCCCTGCTCTTGAAGATGCTATCTTGGTGGAAAGATGATATGACTTCCCACAAAAGACAGAAGAGAATCTTGAGGCACCCAAGGAAAAGAGTGTCCTTAGAGTATGTTTTCCTTCTCCTCTTTTGGTCAATGACAAGTGGCGTCAAAACCGTATGTAAATCAAAGCCTTTTCAGAGCAAACTAATAGCAAAAAGAGGGAAAACCAAACAAAAAACTGATTAACTATTGGAAACTGAAGAATAACCACTTCAGGAGGCAGGAGAAGAAACGTGAGCGAATTATGGCACCTTGAACAAAACCACTAGTTTTTCCTGAAGGAAGCTTGATAGTATCATGAAGAATATGACAAATGGGGCCAGAAACCATTATTTGGTAAAGTTCAGAAAATACAAGCATGAAGCTAAGACACTGTATTGAAGCATCACAGCGTTCTAGATCTTTCTTCCTAGTCATGTTCTCACAGCTGCTGCTCTAGAAGATGCTTATGCTATAGTAGCAGAGAAGTCATATCCACAGTTAAAAAAAAAGATGGGCAGGTATTTATAAGCAGCTTAGCTAGCTTCTGCTGCAAGGAGGGGAGAAAAGGGGAAAGAATCTGAATCCCAACACCACAGCAAGGGTGATATTTGGCCATTCTCTCCCCCAGGTATACACAGCATCTCTCCAAAGAAGATGCAGCAACAACGTTTGCTAGACAGAATTGTAGAAGGCATTTGCTTTCCCAATGCTCTGCACAGATTAATACCTTCTACTGAATAGACTTGTGCTGATATTAAATGATACTTATGCTAGCTTACGTCCAGATATTTTACCGTCTTTTTAACTTCAGATACTATATTAGAGAACTTCCCTGTAGTGCGAGGATAATATAAGGTAACATATATTTTTTTTTTAAAAAAAGGTCCTCAAACTTGTATCCGAATGTTAAAAGAAACTGCTAAAATCCACATTTAAATTGGTACAGTCACATGCCAGTATCCAAAATCTGTCAGACCTGGAAACTACAGACAGCTGAATTTATATATCCTCCCCTCCCCCGCCATGATATTTCAGTAGAAGTCAGTGGAAAAAACTTTTTCTAGCAAATACAGCAGGACCTTCTGACTTCAAGAAACAGAAATCTGAATGTACAACCTTCACAGCTGAAGGTCCCTCCTGTTTGTGCTGAATGACTGGAGATTTACTCCCCCAAGCAGTCTGAGGAAACAGGCATTCATTCTTATGCAACACAATACAGAATCATCACTTAACTCCTTCATGCATCGGCAAACTTGGCCTTGGTAATCTGATGCCAGCACAAACAAAAAGAACTGTTCTGCATTATTTCACTTTCAAATGCCTTAAAATATGCCAACAACTATAACTTCTAGCAAGTACTGTACTGACGACAGAGCTGAATCCAAATGCAAACTTTTTAAAAATTTTATTTGCAATTATATAGCAAATTAATAGGCAGGATAAACCTAGTTCTGGTATTACTAGTGAAATGAATGCACTCAGCGAGGCTACTTCCTCCACATTATATTTTTCAGCCTTCATCTGCTGGCAAAGTCTTACTAAACTGGCAACAGACCCTACCCTCAGCCTTGAGCACTTAACCCATGTTATTTACAAACAGGAAGCACAATCATCTAATCTTGCCAGCGTATGAGCTCACAGTAAGACAGAAAATGTTTTCAGTGTTCACGTTCACATAACCAGCCACTTGGTGGGACTTGCACAGTGCAGACCACTTTCAGGATAAGCCTCCTGGAATACTCAGGTCTTAGTTATCGTCACTTCTATGAGCAGTCTAATAAAATCCTATGTGACTTCTCAACAGAAGTTAATAAGCTACAAGTATGTTTAGAATTCATACACAAAAAACACCTTCATACTTTCAAACACAAAAATACCAGTGTAAACTACAACAGCGTGTATAGCAACTGCACAGCAGACTCTTGAACACCACTCTACTAAAACACATTATGATTAGAAAGGCAGAAGCATTTTAAGTATTTCAAAGTTACATACTACACCCGTGCATTGTATTACCTACCATGAACAGCTAGAAGAGACAGTCTTGTGCACCTCCAGGCTAGTAAGACAAGTGGATCTTCATTCCGGTTGTCACTAAGATCTGGGAAGCCAGACATATCTATCACATCATTCATTAGTATAAAATGAGTGAGGAACTTGTCATACTGCCTAGATATGAGGTCAACAACAGCCCCTGAAACACAAGTGATGTAGCTGTCAAAATGAATCCTCTCTAGGGGGATACTGGGCTTAAGAATCCTTAACATATCATCACTCTTGACATCAAAAGCCATTATATAGACCCGAAGATTAGCGCTGTTGCGAGTCAGCGCCTTCCAATTCTCATCTTCTGGCATACTGTCCAATGACTTGTGCATTATGGAAACACTGTGGACCAGGAGAGACAGTCGATGCAAAGGCACATGGTTGCTGTCAGCCAGGACTCTTGCCATTTCAGCTGTAAAATCACAGAAATCCAAAGCGAGCGAACGCAGATTCACAAAGCGCTCCAATTCAACTGCAGTGATAAGAGTGGTATTACCAGGGATGTGGTTGTCCAATAAGCTCAGATGTTCCATGGTGTTGGCTATGGGGTTTGATAAGGAGGACAATGATGTGGGAGTTACTATCTGCAGCATAAACCCACAAGACAGCCATTTCAATTGCCTGCTATTGCCTAGTATCTCTTCAAACAGCTGTTGTATTCTGCAAGTAAACAAAACAGACAATGATCCTATTAAACATGGGTTAGTCTTACCAATTGCACACCATTCTATTTTTTTTACTCGAGAATTCTTCTTTCATTTATGGCCTTATTCTGCAGGAAGGTGCTATTATTATGGTTCTTATGAACTACAAATGTTAGAACCTGACTCTGCAGACCTCCCACATCAATCTAATCTTCGTTGCACTTGAAAAGGTTAAAACTGTAAGCTATCTTGAGAAAAATTACATACTTCATTTTTCAAACACAGTGGCACACTACGAACCTTCATTTCATGCATTTCTCAGCACGTATTTAACACTTTCCCACGTACATTTTAAGGTTATGCAAATAAGAAAACCTGTAACGTTTAAAATACAGTTCTTGTTTTTAAAAACAGTTTCTCCTGTTTGCTAACTGCTTGGAAACTGCAAATTCAATATATAAGAAAAAGTAACTTTCAGTGAAAGGTTGCAGAAACTTGACTTCGAGCATATGTTAGAATGATCTGAAACTTTGCTCATTAAAGGGTAAAGAACAAACATATAAGAAGATCCTTTAAATAATTCTGAATGTACAACTAACTGGATTTTCAAGTGTCAACAGGTTCAAGTCTTACCAAAACAACTTGGACCTGGTAACATTTCAATCTCAGATTATCAGTGCCAGAAGATTCTGGCACTGCCAGAATCCTCATGCCACTTATTACACTGCATGATTATTATGCACTTATTCTGATGCATCCCACCTCTCTTGCCCCTTTATGTTTTTATAATGAAGGGATGTTCTTTAAGTTAGAAATTTAATTCAGGAAATCAACAGAAGTATTTTAAGATAAGATCTTGAATAGTAAATTAAAATAGTACAGTCAAACTCTACAAACTTCCTCCAAATAAATATTTTCCCAGTCTTCATCCCACAGCTGCTAAGGCCCAGAAGAGTCCTCCTGCCCAAATGACAAGTGTTCTTTGACCATATATATTCTAGGACACATGTGTAGATGAGAGTTTGATCTCAAACCCTGGTCAGCCAGAAGGAAAGATGAGTATTTAAGGGTAGCAGCTGACCCGAGCGATGACAGTTCCATAAAATGCCAAGAAATAAAATGTAAACAGTGTAAAATTAGCAAAAATCTTTGTGCGTCAAATCAAGTAATACTCTGCACAGGACACTTTTCCCTTTATTGTTACAAATATCTGTATACTTTACACATCTAAGCAAAACAATGTTACAAAGTTATTATTCTCATTCATGTATCTTTAATCGAGATAATGTCCAGGCAAAATTAAAAGCTTATTTAGCCCAGTATCCTGACTGACAGCAGAGAAACACTAACGCCTTAAGAGGTGCAACAGAACAAGGAAAGCACATAGCGGTATTTCTCAGATACCTCCTTAGTTTCCAAAAAATTACCTTGGACCTCCTGAGCCAGAGGCGGCTTTCTGTATTTAGTAACCCTTAAGGATCTCAGTTCTACAAATTTATCCAGGCTCCTCTTTGTGCCAAGTAGCCTTTTAGCAACTGTAACATCCAATAATAAAAAACTCTGCAGTGCGATTTCCCCCCTCTTCTTGCTGGCTCTGAACCTGTCACCTGCTACCTTTGATGCCCCATAATCCTTCTGTTGTAAGAAAGTTAAAAGATCAATCCTTATTCATCCTCTCCCTCTGCAAATCCTTATTCATCCTCTCCCTTGCTTGCATGTGTTTTCTTCCTTCTCCTAAGAATGTACTGGGTTTGGAAGGCCTGACTTCTCTTTGCAAGGAGAAAAGTTGGTGTGGTTATTGTATTTGTCTACTATACACCTCAGAATAGTTCCCAAGGTTTTTCCTAGTATAGTCATCTGGTTTAAAGCCTTCAGTTCTTCCATATCTTCTCTGAATATTTTTTTTAAACTGAGGACTGGCAACTGCGACACAAATTAAACACAGTTTTAAACAACAGGTCAAGAGTCATAGATAGTGTAGCTTTACTATTTTATTCCCAAATTCTTTTACAATTCAGATGAGCCCTGTTTGATCCTGGTAATGTTTGTTTCATAATTATTCCCGCCAATGCTTAAATTGAAGGCAGATTCTCTGACAATCCCCCAAAGAAAAAGGTTCTACCACAGGAACCTCTCTAATTTCTTCCAATGAACAAAGACTCTTCCCCACCCCCTTCCATACACATCTACGAAAGGTGCTGTAATGGTTGCAACAATAGTACAATTATTTTGTAATAGTCCAAGCAGTCAATCTTCACAGCGCTTGTAATATTTTACAGAACAATTGAAAAGATGACAAATCAATTTTGAGATGCTCACTAGAATACTACCATCTATATACCTCGCTGCACTAACGACTTTAAACATCTAAGCTTAGAATATTACTGTTCTAGTACTTGCAGAACTTAACAAAAAGAAATATGATACAAAACTCTGCAGCTGTAGGGTGGGTTTTCTCCCCTGTGGGAACTGCACTAAATAACTTTTAAAAAAAGAGATACACAGACTTAATGCTATCTACACACCAACTTTCCAGTGCAAGAACCAAAGTATTTATGTAAGTATTTAGATTTGTGCTGATAGTCCACCAACCTCTAGGTCCTAAGAAAACTCTCCAGCCACTTTCCCCCAGTTCTTTGCCAATTTAATAAAAAGAGATCAAACTTGTCAGAGAACATTTAATAGTGATCACTTTTGGTTTGTTTTTAACACCTGCTTTATATAAGGCCAGACAGGAAGCACAATATAAGCTACATGCCATTAGTTTTAACATATTTCAAATAAATTTTCAAACACCCTAACAGGGGTTTTTCTTCTTCAAATTTTTATCCACATCCTATTTTTCATAAACAGACAGCATCTAACTGGAGTTTACAAAAATAGTTTGAACTGTTCTAGAAATTTAGACACATTAAGTGAATTCTTGGGCATTAAAACCTACTTTATTATCATATTAACTTCTACTTCAACTGCCTAGCACGTAGTACAACATTTATCCTAACATATACACAGTTATATTAAATCTCACTTATAAAGTTGAAGTTTAAGCATGGTTCAGTAATACAACACAAAATATAAGCAGAGCTCAGCACATGCAAGAAAGCAACATAACCTTGTGATGCCTCAACAACTGTACCTTAGTTGCCTTTGCTCCCTGTAAGCAGCAATTATGGCATGTTCACCATCAACCTGAAACCTACAAATGATCATACTGGAGCAAACTATTGCAAAAAATAAAAAACTCAAAATAAATTACTTTCACAATTAATGCCCCACACGGCACTTTCAGCCAGAGGACAGACCAAAGCCTGACTAGACTGGCTGAGTTACTGTTTAAGCCCAAAAACCAGTCTTGACCAGTACTGAAGGACATTGATGGCCCTAGACAGGAAACAAACATATTACTGAGGTCCATATGGAGCCCATTTGTTTAATTAAAGACTATCAATCAAAATGTTTTGTTTAATAACAAGAGGCTAAACTGGTTCTTTTGGAAACCAAACTATTGAACCACACGGATCAATCACAGGAAGCAGATTTCAGAAAGCCAAAATTTTAAACAATTACCCTTTGTTCAACTCAAGTCAAATGTATTGCTTATGTTGAGCTTCCCAATAGTGATGAACTAAGTTGTAGAGAGAATTTTAGAAAGTAACTCGGGGCACATATGCTATACAGAAGAACAACAAGCATTACAAACCCAGGCAGATCACTGCAAAAGTACATTTTTGAAAACAGTGTCCAAAGCCTCCTCTCCCTCAGAACAACCCCTAGTCTTAACCTGGGGGAGCATCCTAATGGTTCTGTGCTACCTGAGATTTCAGCCCCTGTCTGTTACAGCCAGCTCAATGCTATGGACTTAAGGAAGTGTCATATTTTCTTCCCTGACTGGGAAGCTCCTGAAACAGCTAGTAAGGTTTATCACCATATGGATTCCAAAAATCTTCAACTACTACTAACGCTGTCTCCAAAGGTTGCTCAATATCTTTCAGTGTTAGTTATCAGTATCCATGTTTTGCAACTTAACTGATGCAAACCTCAAGTGCAAAAGACAAGACTAAGGACCCATAAAGATTTGCGTCCTGAAATAAATCTGCTGCCAGTGTTGATGAACTTGAGAACATGAAATAAAGCACTGCCAGCTTTCCTTTAATTTAGAAAAGGACTAGCAGGTCCCAAACACATTGTTTTATTCTAGCAAGACACCCCCATCAAAACCTACCGAACAAAACAGAGGTAGCATGTAATTCGCTCGTTCCAAAATGTGCAAAGGTCAATATTCACCTAAAAGACTAACTGCAAATTAGATAATGAGTTTTGAATGGTTTATGGCTCCAAAACATGCATACTTATTTTTGTTATTTGTTTGGAGAAAAGTTTAACCATGCACTCAGCTGAGTAAACATCTGCTGAGATGGCTCTCCTCAAGCCCCTTGGCAAAGGTTTGATTATATCTTTATGTCTTCACAACAAAGGATATGAAAAAAGGAGCTTTTACCGAATCAGTCTTTTACCTGTACACAGCACTACAGTATGTATGTTAAACAGAATAACAAATATGCTCTAAGTTCTGCATTCTAAGCATAATGGATGACACAGTATGTAATACACATCTGTATTTGCACTGTTTTGCAAATTTAAGTGAGGACCAAACACTTGGTTCGACAGTTGTTTTCACATACGTACAACTGAACTGATAATATACCTACACTAGTTCTAAAACCACTCTAAAAAAATAATAGTAAAGATCTAGAGTAGCTGTACTTATTTTACTCCCAAGCTACCCAGAGAAAGATGTTTAAACTGACAAATTAAAATTATGGTATCCAGGTTTTATCTATAAGGAAAGTTTTAGCAGAACTGCTAAAATAGTTAATTTAGCATCACTCCTTCTGTGGTAATTTACTCCAGAAGTCAGTAGCTTTTTACTTTGTATTTAACCTTTCCCAAAGAAGAGCGAGCTAGTCTGATCATAAGCATTCACGGACTGTACCGTAATGTAATTATGGCAAGCTAAAATACACCTCTGAACTAAACAAGCACATTGTGAGCTATGATCTTCCAGGAATTCTGCAGATACATAACCTAGTTTTGAGAAGCAACTCAAAATAAGTTGTTGTGTTTATGTTCTCTTTCAAGTTTACTTGCTACATGTCCTGAATTCTTGTGAAATACAACAGATTACTTCCTTTTCAAAATTTTTCATGTACAGCAATAGTAGAGGTGCTGGTAACAACCCCCCATCCCTCCTCCCCTTGTGTGCCACTAACATAATATTGTTTCTAGAACACAATGAAAAGAGGAAAGAAAGGATTCTCACCCTGCTGAGAAGGGGGGAAAAAAAAAAAAGCGCCACAAAACCAGACTACTTCATGAAAACAGTAGAAACAGAAATCAACTCAATTTAAGAATTTACATCCTCATTCTACCAAAAAAACTTAAAGCTTTCTCAGTCATGTATTTCAGGCATGAAAATCTGTGTTCTGTTATCCGTTTATTATTTTAATGTATTTGATAATTTACAAATACAACTTACTGCTTAATCTTCTTGCCATCAGGGTCAACCTTGCCGAGGTATGTATTTGATATACTTCCATGTTGCTGCAGAATGCTTATATCCCCAAAGAGACTTAACTTCTGGAGGTTCCTATGAAATGACAAAACAAAGAGGAATCTGTACACAAAATTAAAACACTGTGAGGAATCATTCTGGGTAAAACAAACACAGACAATAAGAACACATTATTACATGGAACACGTAGTTCATTTTGGGAAACATCCTACTGTCCTGGAATACAGGCACATATGGAACTACAAAAAATTAGACTGAAGTATAAAGGGGAAGAGAACTACACAAATTGCTGAATCCAGCTGTAAAAGAAAATGCCAGTTTCCAGTCACCACAGGAATATTTTCAGCAATGCAGCACCATAAAAAAAAAACCCCAAAACTTTTAGCAGTGCTTTCATGCACTTGTTAATCCTTGGAACATGTGTGAAGTGTCACAGGTGAAAACATCAAATACTTATTCCTTTTAACATTTAACACTGCATTTAATGCCCAAGTAGAATGCAACCACAAACAACCCTGTCTGAACACTTACATACGGCAGCTGGGTTACAAATGGGGAGCCCAAACCTGCCTCAATCAAGGCAACACAAGCCTCAGACAGGAAAAGTGAAAGCTCCCCACACCCTAATCAGTGTCTAATTTCTGTTACATCAAAGTAGGGAGGCTGTTCTAATATTTCCCATCAGTGACCTGAAGAAGATTAGTAATCCACCATGACATAGAATTTTCATTTTTAGAAGGGATACCTAAAAAGAAGTGAAAGAAGAACTTCTAAGTTTATGCTGGACATGACTTGGTGTGCTAGTCAGTCAGTTTTCCTTTCCCTAGTACAGTTTCTCTCTCCAACTTGCATAGTTTCTATTCCTAGAAAAGATCAAGTAAGACATATGAAAATGACTGCAATTTTACAGTAGCTGTGTGGCATTTATTTTTAAGATTTTTATTTTTTTAACTGACTAAGTTTTGGGTCAATTTTTTTTTTATTTATACATACGGTAAATTTTACTCCTAACATGCAAGGACTAGTCTGCACTTGATAATTAACATGGCAGAAACTCCAGTTTCATCACGAATGGATACATGAATTAAATGCACCTTAAACAGTAGATGCCAATTAACCTGTAGCTGACGATTAAGTGCCTTACACAAATACTTACTTCTGCTGGCTTACAAATCATATGCTAATATTTCAGATCAGCTTTGAGGAAAATGCAATACAATTACAATGCTCAAAGGCAAGCTCTAGTGCCAGTTCACTACCTCCACAGTATGAGCTGATTTTCCCCAAGAGGAGGGGGGAAAAAAAAAAAAGTATCAAGTAGTCAAGTCTTACGTTTTTTAGGTAAGTATGAATCGCAGCCTGTAATTGGTATCTACCGTAAATCATAGTTTACGTGTTTTGAAGTTCCTGTATTCAATAACCATATACTAGTTTCCTGAAATTTATCCACTGTTGTACCTCCTATTTTTCTTCTATAGGTGAACAACTTAACAGCAAGATCCACAAGCTTCATACAGAGTCAGACAAATACTAGAACAAAATACCTACAGTTTACAACTGTTTCAGAAATGCTAACAATTTCATATTCAGTCTTTTAAAAACAGAACTACCGTACTAATGATACTTTAATATTAACTGAGCCCTGGCCACATTCTCAATATTCTATAAATCTGATTAAGACAATGTCTGATCATACTGAAGAATAAGCTTGGTAGGGAAATCTGAAGACACTGGCACCACCACCAAGAGTATTTTGGGTTCTTTCCTCAAAAGCTGCAAGAGAGAGTCTTGTATGACAGGGAAAGCAGCAGAAACCTCCGCCTAGTGTGAAAGTCAGTGTTCACAGCCAATGTTGTAATTAAGCTTTTATCTTTTGATCTCAGTGCCTTAATTCTGAGAGCTAAGAGACAAAATACAATCTTCTGAACAATTTTGAATCACTTACGTATTCACATCATGCACAGGTCCTGTTCTGCACTATTCATACCCCCAGTGAATGCCACTCTAGGCAGGTAATAATTTTAGAGCCACCAAACTACAGGACACATGAAACACTATTTAGTAGTATTGCACACATTTTTACATCTATTTGACCGCCATTTCATGCGCTACAGACATGCATGGAAAAGTTCTCCACCTCAAAACTTAAGCGATGAAAACATCCAACTATTTTCCATTCACAGCACAGTTATTACCATCAACAAATCTTATCACAGTTTAACACAATACTAGATTTTTGCTACTATTTGCAGTGTCATATAATCTCTTTGGCGTTCAGCTCACATCTCACATTTATTTCAGAGAGTTAGTAAAGTGATTGCTATTTAAATAAAATTATTTAGAAGTTAATTGTCATCTTTTGCTGAGAGTCATAATGGCATCTTAACCCTATGTACTACGCATACACATAGCTGGGGAAAAACATGTGTTCGGGGGGGATTTCTAAACCATTTACTTTCCACTATCTCAAAAAGCATACTAAAAGTAATGAGCTTCTTTCTAGGCTCCATCTTCAGTTTTGGTTGGTGCTTTTGAACACTCAATGAAAAAAAGAACAAAATGGTCTTGCTTACATTCAACATGAACAAAGCGGTAAGGCACATACTGTATTATTACACTAGTTTTTGCCAGTTTCAGCTGCCTGCTCAGACCAATAGAAGACAGTCATTGGAAAACCTCAAATGCAGATGCAGCCTACTGTTTTGAGCCATTCACCAATTTTTGGCAACTCCAGGATAGATACCATACTTCACCAAGATACCACAGTTTTACTATAATCTGCATTTTTATTTCCACAGCAAAGATCAAACAAGTCACACAAACGTATTGTACTGCAGAGGAAACAGGTGGTGGTGGTGGAAATCACTACCTTCCTATCTTCCTTTGTAAGCAGCTAGAGGATAGACCATACTTTGGAATTTCAAGAGTTACATAAAAGAACACAGA